GGACTGCCGAACTCTGCCAAGACAAGGTAGGACAGCCCTTCAGAAAATCCCACTTCACAGAAAAGTCTGTCAGATATGCTAGGCCTGTTGGCTGAAGATGGATGCCCCAACATTGCAGAGGAACCTTGGGTGACTGTCCAGGCAGCCAGCTGTTTCTGTCATTTCTCACATTTTTCACAAGTTGCTTATTTGCACTTCCTGCTTACTTAGGTAATATTATTTCCTTCTCAGGTCTCTGATAGAGTTGAAGACTAGATAATTATAGTTATAGTTTTCCTTGTTAACAAACTCAGAACAGAAACTCACTAAAGAGGTGTAAAGTGTATAAGTTTGAAAGACATCAAAAGATAGTTTTCGGTTGGTAATACATTAGGATAGAAAGTGAATTAGGGGGTTTGGGACTTAGCTCAGTGGTAGACGCTTGCACAAGGCCCTGGGTTTGGTCCTTAGCTCTGAAAAAAAGAAAGAAAGAAAGGAAGGAAGGAAGGAAGGAAGGAAGGAAGGAAGGAAGGAAGGAAGGAAGGAAGGAAGAAAAAAAAGAAAGAAAGTGAATTAGGTACTACACTTTGGATTCACCAAAATAGGATAAACAATGGAGTATTTTCTCTGAATTTGTCAAATGCTAATGGACTGGACATTGTTAATGTAATTCTTGACTGTATATATTATATATACTTATTGTATATCATTTTTCTTATATTAGTTATAACCTTTTACTATTTTAGACAAAAAAAAAAAGGGAAATGTGGTGATAGATTGTGTACCCTAATAAAATTTATCTGAAGATCAGAGAACAGAACAAGCCACTAGATTAAACATAGAGGCCAGGCAGTGGTGGCACACACCTTCAATCCTAGCACTCGGTGGCAGAGATTTGTCTGGATCTGTGTGAGTTCAAGGCCACACTGGAAACAGCTAGGCAGTGGTGGCACACACCTTCAATCCTAGCACTCGGTGGCAGAGATTTGTCTGGATCTGTGAGTTCAAAGCCACCCTGGACTACATGAGATTGACTCAGTCTAGGAGAGAAAACAGAGCCAGGCTCACACCTTGAATCCCAGTACTGGGAAGCACACATCTCTAATCCCAGGAAGTGATGGCTGGGCAAAGAAACGTATATAAAGCGTGAGGAGACAGGAACTAAAGGCTTTTCAGCAGAAGGGTCCCTTTGAGCTGGCGGCTCTTTCAGCTGGAGCCCTTTCAGGCTGGTGAGCTGAGGCGCTGGTGAGGTCAGAGGTGGTGGCTATGGCTTGTTCTGATACTTTGATCTTTCAGCTGTCACCCCAATATCAGGCTCCAGGTTTTTTATGATAGACCTTCAGAAATTCGTGTTACACTACTCCAATTCTTGTTATAAATTCTAAAAACCCTCTGGAAGAGGCTCACAGGCCGCCTCAACCGGGAACCTGACTTCCCCCATGATGCTGTGCTGGAGGTGGAGATGACCTCGGGGAGGTTTAGCGCCCGCCTCCCTCTGCCTTGACACACCCGTTTATCACCCCACTGGAGTACCGAATGTTGCTACCTGCTCCATTCCTCACAGAGATCAAGATGGTATCTCCTTTCCCAGCGGGACATTTCATTTCTGTCCCAGGAGAAAAGTAAGGCCCTTGCGGCTATTAGGCGCCCTCCTCCAGGCCTGCAGTTTCCACCGTACCGAAGGCTCCCCCTAGTGGAGACAAGAAAAACCTAGCAGCGTCTTGGAGGGAAGGAGAGGGAGACCCTGGAAATAATACGGCTCAAAGGCTTGGAGACCCCTCTTGAGCGACAGTCCCACTTCCTCGCCCTCAGCCCTCTAGATTGAGGGTGAGCCTAAAAAGGACCCGGGATCCTGTGGTCTCCTTTTCACTCTCCAGGCCTGGCCTACCCTACTCCTACTCCCTGTCTGGTCCCTGGAAAAACTTAGCTGTGCCCTACACCGAAGCCCCTCGAAATGAGAGACATGGAATCTTGGACAGCCAAGCTGCCAGCAGAGAACGGAGTCCCTGGTTTCTCCCCCATGCAGCTCCGTCCTGGCCACTCCCCCCCCTCCCACCCACCACCTCGCCCTTGGATCTCTTTACTAGAAACCTCTTTTCCTTTGGTCCTTCTAGGCCATCCAAAAGTCAGGCTTGATTTGGAGAGAGGATGGCTTAGGGAGGGAGGAGGGTCACGGCAGGGCGGGTTTGTGATGGGTCCTCCAGCTTGAGCAAGCCCAGCCTCCTCCTCTGCCCCACCCCCCCAGCCTCGGGGTTCTCGGTTTCGCTCCTCTGCTGGGCTTCCTTCTATGGAGAACTCCTAGGAAGCCCAGTGCCCAGCTGGGACAGGGCGGTGGAGAGGGGCTCCGAGGAGAAAGAGGAGCGGGGAGACTCGGGGAAGGTGAAAGGCTGACTTTCGGGGGGCGAGGACCCGCGTCCCTCCAGCCTCAAGGGGCGTATGCAAAGAATTGCTAATTGCAACTAAACGAGGCCTCGTTGTGGGGGAAGGGGCAGCCCCGGCTGTCAGGGGCTACCGCCTCTTTGAGTGCCCGGGTAAGGCCAGGCCAGCCCGCTCTTCTCATGTAAAGCAGCTTTTTGTCTGGGGGAGCCAGCGCTGGGGCCAGGGGATGAGGAAGGGGCCCAAGCCTTTGGCAAGTTTCTTGTTCCCCAGCAAGGGAGAAGGGTGCCGAGGCCTCCTCGGAGTGAGAACGTCCCCACCTCCTTGTCCCCTCTCAAGCTTTTTATGTGGGGGTTGATGGGGTGCTGCCCAGCAGGAGGGGGTGGGCCTGGGATCCTAGCACCCCCCTTGCTGGGCTGTGGGAAAGAACTGAGCACAAAGAACAGGACTGGCCCAGTGAGTTGGGAGACAGGGCCGCTCTGATGCCGGCACATCCTGAGCTTCGAGTATCCAGCACGGAAGCCCCTTCTCCCCAAAGGCTCTCCTCAGTGGCTGCCCGCATCTTAGCTGGGTGAAACGTTCTCACCCGCTGGTTTGTCCCGTGAGGTGGGGTGGGGACCTGAGGATGTTAGCCCGCTTCCAGCTATCAGAGATGTCTTTGCTGTAAACACAGGACTTGAGGTGCTTGCACCTAGTTCTAGATACTAGGAGGAATGGGGCCAGAGGGTCGCTTGACCCAGAAGATAGAAGCCTACCTGGGCAGGCAACTTAGTAAGATTCTAGCCTCAAAGGAATAACCATAGCCGGGCGGTGGTGGCGGCCGTCTTTGATCCCAGCACTTGGGAGGCAGAGCCAGGCGGATCTCTGAGAGTTCTAGGCCAGCCTGGTCTACAGAGTCGAGATCCAGGACAGGCACCAAAACTACACGGAGAAACTCTGTCTCCAAAAAACAGAAACAAAACCAAAAACACAAACAAAACAAAACATGATAATGATGCTTCTGGTCCCTGGAGCCACATAGCCTTCAATATGATTGATGGATTGATTTTTTTTTTTTTTTTTTTTACTTTGCTTTTTGTTTTTCGAAACAGTCTCACTATGTAGCTCTGGGTGGCCTCAAACTCCCGGCGATCTGCCTGCCTTTGCCTCCTGAATGCTGGGATTAAAGGCATGCACCACATCACCTATCTTTGACAGACTGATTTTTGTTCTGAATTAGGATATCACTATGTAACTTCTAACTTGTGATTCTCCTGTCTCAGGCTCCTTGTAAGAGCCCTGGGCCATGCACTTTTAAAGTCATGGGCAGAGTGGTCCAGTACTCAGGAGATAGAGGGAAGAGGGATCTCTGTGAGTTCCAGGCCAGCCAGGGCTACACAATGAGAGTCTTCTCAAGATAGAAAGGTCATATCATTTTAAATAGGCTGGCAGTGTAGCTCAGTTGGTCAGTGCTTGCCTAGCATGCACAAAGCCCTGAGTTTGATCCCCAGCGCCACATATGACCAAGTATAGTGGAGCACGCCTTTAATCTCAGCCTTCAGGAGGTAGAGACAAGTGGATCTCTGTGAGCTCAAAGAGCGAGTTCCAGGCCACGTTGATCTACATAGAGAAACCCTGTCTCAAAACAAAACAAAACAAAAACCGGGCAGTGGTGGTGCAAATCTTTAATCCCAGCACTCAAGAGGCAGAGTCAGGTGGATCTCTGAGTGCGGGGCCAGTCTGGTTCACAAAGCAAGTTCCAGGACAGCCAAGTCTTATACAGAGAAACCCTGTCTCAAAAGACCAATTGATAGATAGATAGATAGATAGATAGATAGATAGATAGATAGATAGATAGATAGATAGATAGATATAGACAGATAGATAGACGGACAATAGACAGACAGATAGATAATAGATAAAAGAAAATAAGATTCCCTACTTATCCTACTGCCAATGTGGCCTCAGAGCTCCCATTTTACAGACTAGAGAAACAGAGCCCAGGAGGGAACCAGCCCTGAAGGACAAAGATAGTTCAAGGTCTCAGGGAGACTTGGATAAAATCACTGGCGAAGTCATTTGTTTTCCTGTGAAATGTCCACTGGTTCCCACAAGCAGGGCCGCTTTCCTTCCTCAGTTTTTGTGCTCTGTGGCCTCCCCTTATCACCATATGTCACTCTGTCTGGGCCATTCAGCCAGGTGGAAGATGCTGACTTCCAGCCTGCCAGATACCCAGGGATTCTTGGTCTCAGAGTGTCTTTGGCCAAGGGACTCTGGCTTGGGGCCAGTGCCTTTCTGCTGCTGGACTCACTCCCCACAGGCCCCTAATCCATCTCACCCAGCAGGAAGCCCTTAAGCTGCCTTTTCAATGTCCTTCCCCAGCCTGCTGTGGGCTCAGTGCCTTTCTATACCACCCTTGGCAGGAGCTGTGTTAGACAAGCTGGAAAGAGCTGCCCTTGGAAAGAGGTCATCTTGCCTCAGGCAATTTCCTGCTCCTGGTTGGAAGCCTCTTCTCTCTAGTTCCCTGGTCCTCTCCCGAGGTCACCCTTCTAGGACACTGCCTGGGTATCTCACGGCATGTATTGTCCTGGCTAAATCACGCCGACGTTCCACATTGTTCAGGTGCCGTAGAGAGGAGGCTCCAGAGGGCAGGATGCTGGGCTCTGGGGAAGTGTGGCGGCAGGAGTGGCCCTTGGCTCTGTGCCTCCTGTCCTTTTAGGGACCACTCTCCATGTTTCCCGAGTCTTCCAGGCTATCCAGAGAGTTCTCGGGCTGTAATGCTGCCCGGCTAGCACCAGGAGAGCTCAGCCCTTGAGAGAACAGAGCCAAGCAGAGAGGAGACAAGGGCTGGGAGCACAGGTCAACCCTGGGTTGGATGGAGACTTCCGCAGCCTGGCTCATTCTAGAGTGAGCTTGGTTTCAAATCCCTAATGCCATGACTCCAGCAAATCGACTTGTAAAGGTTTTGATTTTTGGCTTGGAAAGTATGATTTTTTTTTCCCAAGCCGTAAGTACTGGCTCACATCTATAATTCCAGGACTTGAGAAAGCCGAGGCAGGAGGATTGCCAAGAACTGGAGGCCAGCCTGGACTATGTGGTAAGTTCCAGGCTAACTGGATCTTAGAGTGAGACCCTGTTTAAAAAAGTATGCTGTGTAGTGTCTCTCTCTCCTCATCTTACTTCCGCACCCTTTCCTCCGGGGTCTGTGTGTGGGGTCTTCCCACCTAGGCCCCCCCTTTCAGCCTTGCCTGGAAGCCTGCAGCCTTGGAGAGGCTGGGGAAGAGTTGGGGAGGCAGCCAAGAGGTCTGTTTGTAGTTCAGATTCTTTTCATTCCAGCCTCAGCAGGCTCTCTAAGGGAAGGGCGGTGATGGGGTGGAGGATCCTTGGCGCACCAGCCTTGGCGAGAAGAAGGATATGTGTTTTCATCAGCTGACCCCCAACAATAGGTAGGATCCGAGGACCTGCCTGTACTGATGGTAACCAGAGCCCCTGGACCCTCATCTGCCCCTTTAAGGACCCTTTCAATATGGGGACAATGCTCAGGGCTTAGATCTTTTCCTTTGCTTCCTCTGGAGTCCCCCCTCCCGCCTCCTCCTGGGGATGCTAGGATGCATTTAGAAGGAGAAGAAGTAAAAGAGGCATCGCCTGGAGAGTGACTGGTCCAGGCTCAGCTTCAAAGAAGCCACATCCTATCCATCAGTCCCCCAAACTGATGTCTTCAGAGTTTTACTTTAACCAAGCAGTGGATTTGCCATTCTATCTTGCCACCCCCTAGGCCACAGAATTCCTCCGGGGTTATCAGGGTGACCTGGCCCTGGGGGAAGGCAACCTGAGACCCCCAGCCCCCCTTCCCATTTACCTCAGCGCTTAGAAGTCCTTGTACCTGCCCCTCTCCCCGGGAAACATCCCTCTCCCACAGCTTCTTCCTGACCGAGGGGACGGAGGAAAAACAAACACGGGCCGGCGCGGGCCGTGTCCACCAAGTGAAGGCATCGCTTTGTCTGACCTTCTCAACCTCTTGAGGAAGAAGATTAACGTCTCCATTGTATCGTCGTGTGACCGGCCCCAGGAAGGACCACAGGGGCCAATGAGCTTCAGTAGTCTGAATGGGAGGCCCAGGTGGAATGTGAATATTCCATCGGAATTGAAGTTGAGAGAAACTGGAAGGCAGGAAGAAACACTTACGGATGAACTGAGTCATCATTATGTGTTAAAGATGGGCTAGAGAATTGGGAGGCTGATCACATTTAGAGTGTGTTTTTATAGGAGAGAATCTAAAGGAATCTAAGTTAGAAGTCTTTTTTTTTTTTTTGGTTTGGTTTTTGGAGATAGGGTTTCTCTGTGTAGTTTTGGTGCCTGTCCTGGATCTCTCTCTGTAGACCAGGCTGGCCTCAAACTCACAGAGATCCACCTGCCTCTGCCTCCTGAATGTTGGGATTAAAGGCATGCGCCACCGCCGCCTGGCGGGAAGTCCTTTTCTTACTAAATATTTCTCTTTAAAACCAATTTATGTCACCAGGAGGTGGTGGCATAAGCCTTTAATGCCAGTGCTCGGAAGGCGGAGGCAGAGGCAGGTAGGTAGATCTCTGTGCTGGATCAAAGGCGTGTGCCACACCCGCATAGGAGAAGCCCTCTTCCTGGTTAGAGAGTCCAAAAAGGGAAGCAAGCCACACACGAGGATACTGGAGAAAAGGAAACCTATGGCGTCACCCATCGTGGGCAGATGTTGACGAAAGGTCATTATGGGAAGCAGAGGTGCTCTGAGAACGGTCAGGTAAGCCCTAAAGGCGGAAAATCGGGATGACAAAACAACAAGGCTTGTCCCCTTTAGCCAGACTTAGTGGCTTCCACGGCATTCCTACATTTGCTTGTTTTCGTGTGGAGATACTCTTGGCTCTGTCTGTTCATAAGAATAAGGCTCCTCTGGAGTTGGGGTGCCCTTGGGGAGGAGGGATCCGGAGTTCAAGGCCAAGATAAGTGTGGTGAATCCAAAAGTCAATTCCAGGGACTTTGCAGAAGGGATGAAAAGAACCCCTTGATAAGACTCCTGGACAAATGGGTAAAGGGATGAGACCTGTCTTAGGATGGTCAGACCATCATTAGGTTCCCTGGCTTGAAGAGTGGCCTTTCCCACAGTCTAGGGTTGTGTCTCTGAGCAGGATGGGAGTCAACGAGGTTGAGTAATTCATCTGATCTTTAATTTATTATTATTGTCATTATTGTTATTATTATTATTAAGACAAGGTCTTGGGCTGAAGAGATGACTCAGGGCTTAAGAGCATTGACTGATCTCCCAAAAGTCCTGAGTTCAATTCCCAGCAACCACATGGTGACTCACAACCATCTGTAAGAAGATCTGGTGCCCTCTTCTAACATTGTATACATAATAAATAAATCTTTAAAAAAAGAAAGAAAGAAAGAAAAGACAAGGTCTTGCTGTTGTCAGGTCCAAATTCTGGTCATCAGACAAAAGTCAGCGTTCTTTAGGAACTTGTGAAGCCGGTTCTCATCACTGGCAGAAGGGACAAATGGCTGTCTTTGGTACCTATTTGTATACCGAAGTATCTGTTAGCTCCCAGGCTCCCTCAGTATCACAAGTACCTGTTGCACACTTCAGAGTCTCCATGTTAGCATCCCGACCCATCTTCTCCATCTTCCCACCCAAGCCCTTACCCTAAACTTTTCCAGCCCCGGGGCCTCACTGCCACCGGCTTCTCGTCTCCTCATAACCCTTCTGTTTGAGCAATCTCTTTCCCCTCTCACTTCTCACACTAGGTCTTTCCTTTGTCTTCCTCTCTCATTCTCCCCCGTCTCTCTCCTCTGATGGTCAAGTCCAGTCTACCGGCCACTTCTACTACTTTCTCTGTTGACTCCGGATTCTTCCAGATGCCTCTGGTTCTCTAGAATAAAAACCTTCTCTTCAGCCATACCTTAGCGTGGTCATGTCATCCGTTATACCCTGACTGGCTTGGAGCTCCGTATGCAGATCAGTCTGGCCTTAAACTTGTAGAGATCTGCCATTGGGCCTGACTTCATTTCTTATACAGTAGGATGTCATTAGTGGAGACTAGAGAGATGGCTCAGTGGTTAAGAGCACTTGCTGCACTTGCAGTTTGATTCCTGGCACCCACATTGGGTGGCACACAACCACCTGTAACTCTGTTTCCAGGGAATCTGGCAACTTTTTCTGGCTTCCGTGGTACCTGCACTACATGCATATATACAAACCCAGAGACACAGACCCATACACATAAATTATTATTTTATTTTATTTTATTTTATTTTTTTGGTTTTTTGATATAGGATTTCTCTATTTAACAGCCCTGGCTGCTCTGGCACTCATTCTGTAGACCATGCTGGCCTCAAACTCACAGAGATCCACCTGCCTCTGCCTTCCAAGCTCTGGGATTAAAGGCATGTGCCACAACTGCCCGGCCATAAATTGTTTTTAAAGAGAAATATTTAGTAAGAAAAGGACTTCCCACCAAGTGGTGGTGGTGCATGCCTTTAATCCCAGCACTCAGGAGGCAGAGGCAGGTGGATCTCTGTGAGTTCGAGGCCAGCCTGGTCTATAGAGTGAGTTCTAGGAAAGATGCAAAACTACACAGAGAAACCCTGTCTCGAAAAACAAAACAAAAAAACCCAAACAAAAATAAATCATTACTTCCTCTTCCTTCCCCTCCAGATACCGTGGAGATTCAGCTGAATTCTTGGGGCAGTTGGTAGCTCTTGTGTCATTGAGGCCTTGAAGGCTGGTCCATTATTCCTTTGGATGCTCTGTAGTAGTCCAAATTTCTGGATGATTTTATGAACTAAGATTTGGCATAGTGGGTGTACAACTTTAATCTCAGCTACTTGGGAGGCAGAGGCAGGCAGAGATCTGTGAGTTTGAGAACAGCCTCGTCTAATCAAGAGTTCCAGGCCAAGCACAGCTTCACAATGAGGCCATGTCTCAAACAACAACCACAGAGATTTGGACCTTGGACTGGAGAGGTGACTCGGAGGCTAAGAGCACTGGCCGCTTTCAGAGGACTGGAATTGGATTCCCAGCACACATGGCAGCTCACAACTGTCTGTAACTTGATTTCCAGGGGAACCAATGCCCTCTTGTGGCCTCAATGGGCACTGCATGCATATGACAGACATTCAGCAGGCAAAACACCCACACACATAAAATAAAATAATTTAAAAAAAATAAAAAAAGGGGGGGTGCTGGAGAGATGGCTCAGAGATTAAGAGCAATGGCTGGTCTTCCAGAGGTGCAGAGTTCAATTCCCAGCTACCACATGGTGACTCATAACCATCTATAACAAGGTCTGGTGCCTTCTTCTGGCCTGCAGGCAGAACACTGCATACATAAGAAATAAATCTTTAAAAAAAATAAATAAAAAGATTTGGACCATCTCAAAGATCTCTGTCTATCCTACAGGGTAAAGCTTTCACTCAACTGATGGTGTCTACCCACACTAAGAGGACTTTGATGCCCCAACTTTAGGGGATGTTAATGGTGAACTATCTTTCTTAGTCTTTCCCCAGGATAGGAGCTTATCTTTTGTATTCCTGGAGGAATGAGCCAATGGATGTGAGGATTATGCATTTGTATATCACCATTACTACCTGGTTGGCAGTTTCAGAAATACAAATAGTCATTTTGGAGACTGTAGGCCTCCATCCTTGTCCAGATGAAAAGCCTGATAGAAGGTCCTTAAAAATTTCCATCTGTAGCTGGAGATTTGACTCAGTGGTTAAGAGCATTGACTGCTCTTTCAGAGGACCTGAGGTTCGATTTCCAGCCATGACATGGTGGCTCACAACCACCTGCAACTCTAGTTCCAGGAGATCTGATACCCTCTTCTGGCCTCTCCAGGTACTGCACACACACACACACACACACACACACACACACACACACCCCGCACACACAGCACACACACATATACATGCAGGTAAAACACCTCTACACATTAAATAAATAAAATGTCCCATCCACCTGTGGCAGGTAGGAGCAATCTCCAGAATCAAGCTAATGTGATGGAAGTACCATCAACAACTCTGTTTTAGAAGTGAGTGAGTTCCTAAGCAGCCTAAGCGATTTCCTATGAGGCCATGGGAATAGAAACAAACAAACAAAACAAAACAAAAACAACTGCTACCCCTATGGAAGCCACTCCTCCAACACGTGGGGCCCCCACTTTTCCATCCTCATGTTGCTCTCACCCGTGGAGGGACCTGCCAAGATCCAGAGGCCATGGTCATAATTTGGTTAGCTGCTTCCTTGGCTGCACAGTCAGTCATCTGTTTCCTGCAGACCACTCACCTGTTCCCTTTGATGTCTTCTACAAAGGGTGACTGTCACCGCATGTCTCTTTCTTGGTGGTACCCAGCAGGGGAGCCTGCAGCTGTAAGGAAGGGGCTATGATTCCACGTCTCTGCAAGGGCATGGAGGACTGAAAATGCATATTGGGAATCCGTGTGGATGGTAACGCTCGCAGGTTAACCCCAGAGTTCTGGTTATGGCTGTCAGTTCAGCCAGCTGAGTCTTAATCCCTAGAGGGAGGGAGGGCTTTACCTTCGAGGGGGTCTCTATCTTTTCTGGCTCCGGGGATCCCTTGCTTACTGAAGGAACTCCCAAGACAGATCCCTTGCCAGGGGAGTCTTTAAGACCACCCTAGTGACAAAAGTTTATAGAATTGTTCATTTGTTATATTTGGGCTTTTAAATTTTTTGTTGTATTTTTTTTACATTAATTTATTTAGTATGATTGTGTGTGTGTGTGTGTGTGTGTGTGTGTGTGTGTGTGTGTGTGTGCATACTAACCACATGTGAAGGTCACAGGACAACTTGTGAGAGTTGATTCTCTACTGTGCTGTGGGATTCCTGGAGATCAAACTCAGGGAGTCAGGTGTGGCAATAAGTACCTGCTGAGCCATCTTGCCAGCCCATGTTTGGGACTTTTTTGTTTGTTTGTTTGTTATCTATTTATTTATTTATATTTTGGTTTGTCGAGACAAGGTTTCTGTATGTGGCCCTAGTTGTCCTGGAATTCGTTGTGTAGAACAGGCTGGTCTTGAACTCAGAGATCTTCCTGCCTCTGCCTGTAGCACCACACCCTGTTCTTTCTTAAAGATTTATTTGTTTTTATTTTATGTGTATGACACTTTTCCCTGCATATATGTTTGTGCGCAACGTGCTGTGGGTACCTGGTGCCTATGGAGGTCAGGAAAGTCATCAGATGTCCTGAGACTGGATTACAGATGGTTGTGAGCCACCATGCAGATTCTGGGAACTGAACCCAAGTCCTCTGCAAGAGCAATACATGCTCTTAACTGCTGATCCATCTTTCCAGCCCCTTGTTTGGACTTTTCTCATCTTCCTCTTCCTCTGAGATGAAGGTTACAGGGTTAAGGAAGGAACCGATTTTCCCTTGAACAGCTGGACCTTCCCAGGGTGATGCCTGCTATGAGTTGCCCAGAGCCTCCCTTTTGGTTTGGATACTCCTTCCATGTGATCGGGGACAGTGCACTCAGATCATCCCCCAAGGTCTCTGGAGTTAGCAGAGCAGCTTCGGCCACAGTGCTAACCTTTCCCCTAAGATCTGAATCTCAGCTACGGTAGCCTAAAGGCTGTTGAGTGAACCCCCAAACCACCCCTTTCCTTTCAGTTACATGGAGATTCAAGTCTTTACCAGCTGGGAGTCTCAAAGCCTGCTTATGAAGGCCTGTGTCCCTCTGGCCCCTTGATGAGGGTTTCTGTTTTTCCTGCCTGGGTTTCTTTTTTAATGGCGGGTTTCTATACACATACATATACAATATATACGTGTGTGTGTGTGTGTGTGTGTGTGTGTGTGTGTGTGTGTAAGGAAGAGCTAGGTCACACCCAGTCCTCATTGAATCCCTTTTCCTGTTAACTAAGTCCAATACTAAGTATTTGATTGACAGCTGGCACAATTGAGCTTTATTTTGGATGCCTTACAGCCCCTGTCAGATGAGGAGTAACTTAGTTTCTTCCTGGGAATCTTCTGTGGGTCCACAAAGGAGATCTTCACATATTGGAGGACCTTGGCTTGAGAACTCAAGAAGTCATGCAAGTCCCTAGTCAGGGCCTGGACAAGGAGGTGGGGACTATCCTTGAATCCCTGGGCAGGATCTTCCAGGTGAGCTGGGTAACTTGGGATGTTGGGTCCTCAAAGACAAACTGGTCCTGGGACTCAGGGTGTAAGGACTTACAGAAAAGGGCACTATTTAAGTCTAGGGCAATAAACCATTCTGGGGTCCTTTGAGATCTGGGCCAGAAGAGTGGATGAGTTGGGGACCAAGGGATGAAGTGGAATTACACCTTTATTAATAAGTCTGAGGTCTTGGACTAGTCTCCACTTTGTTAGATTCTGGACTCCAAGAATAGGAGTGTTACAGGGATAGCAAAGTTGCTGTTTAGACGGACTGTGATGTTTGGGAAAGCCCTGCTGTGTCTCAGGGTTTAAAGAATACTGTCATGGGTGGGGAAACAGCAGCCCCTCCCCTAGACCTGCCCTCCAGTTCCAGACCCCTGCCTCTGAGGAAGCCTGCCAAAAGCCAGCCCCTCCCTGGGGCTGCTCAAGACCACGCCTACAGGGTACTTAGGACCTGGTAGCCATATTTCCCATGTGACCCTTCCTCTGTGACTCTTCCCCTGCCTTCCCAAGGGCCACTCAGGATTGCTTTGCTCATTAAACCTGGATTTATTAATTCAGTTTGATTTGGCTTATTACATCAGTGGCAGCGGGAACCCAGCAACCAGGGATCAAAACTTATCAATTTGATGTCCTGGCAGCTCTCCGGCTTGGAGGGAGGACACTAACAAGGTAGTCTTTCTTTTGTCTCTCCACTCTCTTTCATTGATTTCTTCCTGGTCTTGATTGTAGACTAAATTAGTGGCACTGTTGAGAAATTTGTCTAGGGTAGGGGCTGGAGAGACGGCTCAGCAATTGAAGGGCACTGGCTGCTCTTCCAAAGGACCAGGGTTCGATTCCCAGCACCCATATGGCAGCTCACAGTTGTCTATAACTCCATTTCTGAGAGATCTAATGCCCTCTTCTGGCCTCTGCTGGCAATACACACATGTGGCGCACAGACATATTTGCAGACTAAATAACTCATACACATTAAGAAATAATCTTGGGAGCCGAGCGTTGGTGGCGCACGCCTTTAATCCCAGCACTCGGGAGGCAGAGGCAGGCGGATCTCTGTGAGTTCGAGGCCAGCCTGGGCTACCAAGTGAG